CTCCATAGCAGTCTTAGCCGGGGCACCCTTCTCTCACTCCCCTTTCACTGAACACTCCCCAACGTCGCGCGTCACTGGCTCATGTCTGATTCTCAAGATGGCTTATAGGTGTTATACCATTTCCTCAAAGACCCCAAGCTCTCTGAGAGCAGGGTTCTCTGACCATTCTGCTCTTCTTGGTCCCTAGGACGGTGCTGAGGATGTGCAAAGCAGTGATCAACCTGAGCATTCACTGGGTCCCTGGCAACCTTGTCAATGTATCTTGCTGTAGGTGAGCAACTATCTTTTCATACTTTATGCAGCCAAATAAAAGTATTGTTACCTCCAATACTTCATATGTCATATGCTTTCCAGAGGTGCTGTGATATCTGAAAAAACATTTATTATAGCCTGTCTAAGCAACAGAAAACTCATTCAGTCATTAAATACTGTGACAGGTGGTTATTTAGGAGAACACCAGAATGTACATAATATTAAAGATTATTCAGGTGGGCAATCTTGCAAACACTACTAGGATCATTTTGTCTACCCTTACTGTCTAGCTATCGTCTGGGAAAGAATGCTCTTCAACGAAGGCCCATCTGAATCTCCTTGGAACCGACAAGGTATTTTAATGCTGTGTCTCCAGAGGTGTGCTTTCAGTACAGAAATGCAAACAGTCTGACCCTGCGGCGGGCAATGCGCACGTGCCCATGAGCACCGAGCCATCGCCACACAGTGGTACCAGGCCCAAATGCTGGGCCTGTCTAAATCCTCCAGCATCTGCAGCTACAGTGTATCAAGTCTGGTTTGCAGAATGAAAGCTTCCCCTCCGTGGGCCTTGGGAAGAGGCTGCGGGTATGGGTATGTAGCGAGAGCAGCCAGACACACTGGAGGACTGGGTCTTAGTCTCCGAAAGAACACACACATCGGGGGAAGGGCACGGGGATCTGTCCTACTGACACCAAGATAGGAATATTCACCTGCTAATGCTTGACTTTGTGGTCCTCAGGATTGGGGAATGGGCTTGAAGGGTTCTGGGAGAGTCTATGTATTGATCGACAACCATTTTCAAGATGGAGTTTACCCGCCTGTACCCAGGGCATGATTTTTTCTCAGCACAGCTTCAGGGAGCCATGACCCCCACCGCCCTTGCCCTGTCTTCCTATGAATGAATCTTTTCGACGTGGTCATATATTTTTGATAGGAGAGAGCTGAGTGAATGAGAGGGAGTGGCTTAGAAGAGGCTGAGAAGAGAAAGATACGCAATTATCATGATCAGGAACAGGAATAACATTTAACTAGAAAATGGTCTATTATTGGGCTGTACCGTTCTAGGGGGCCCTGTGTAGTGTACATGCCCAGGAGAATTTAAGTGGATTCCTGCCTGTCCTTCCATTTCTGGTCATTCGTATCCCCACATGTGGCCTCTGGGGACAGCCGAGTGAGAACAGCTTCGCTGCAGGCCGGACTGAGGCGGAATCTAAATGTCCTTTTACAGCATTTGTGGTGATGGTGATGTTGCCTGATGTTAGAAAATTGTGTTGTTCTAAGTGGAATTTTAAAAAAAGGTGTCCTGTTGGAATCAGCACTCCACTGACCCCTGGAAGGAAACCACTGCCTAAATGCAACACTGACCAAACCTTTCGGGGAGGGACCCTGAGACATGCCGTTGGTGCCGATGAACCGGGAGCAGGCGCACCGGCCGCTGCACTGAGCCGGGGCACCCACCGGGAGCAGGCGCACGGGCCCTGCACTGAGCCAGGGCACCCACCGGGAGCAGGCGCACGGGCCCTGCACTGAGCCAGGGCACCCACCGGGAGCAGGCGCACGGGCCCTGCACTGAGCCAGGGCACCCACTGGGAGCAGGGGCACCAGCCGCTGCACTGAGCCTGGGCACCCACCGGGATCAGGCGCACTGGCCGCTGCACTGAGCCTGGGCACCCACCGGGATCAGGCGCACTGGCCGCTGCACTGAGCCTGGGCACCCACCGGGATCAGGCGCACTGGCCGCTGCACTGAGCCAGGGCACCCACCGGGATCAGGCGCACTGGCCGCTGCACTGAGCCTGGGCACCCACCGGGAGCAGGCGCACTGGCCGCTGCACTGAGCCTGGGCACCCACCGGGAGCAGGCGCACTGGCCGCTGCACTGAGCCAGGGCACCCACTGGGAGCAGGCGCACGGGCCCTGCACTGAGCCTGGGCACCCACCGGGATCAGGCGCACGGGCCCTGCACTGAGCCAGGGCACCCACCGGGAGCATGTGCACCGGCCGCTGCACTGAGCCTGGGCACCCACCAGGATCAGGCGCACTGGCCACTGCACTGAGCCTGGGCACCCACCGGGAGCAGGGGCACCAGCCGCTGCACTGAGCCGGGGCACCCACTGCTGGCTGCAGCCGGGATGAGGCGCCCCCTCGCAGCCGATGCAGGGACAAGGTCCTGGTGGCGACTCAGAGGCGCCTTTCATTGCTTTGTTCTCTGCGTAAAGCCCCGAGGATATGGGATTACAGTATTCAGCAATAATTTGCTCTCTGGATTAAGAAGTCAATATCTTCTCAGCTTCACTGGGATAGAAAGAATATTTCGTCCAATCCCTAGCACCCAGGAGTTTTGAAGTCAGAGCCCTTTTTCGATATATTCTTTACCTCGGGCATGAGGGAAAATCTGACAGTCCTCCCGAGCATTTCATTCAGGAGGTGGAGTGCTGTCGGGGCAGAGCCTGTGCATTTCCTCTCTGAGGAAAATATCTGCTTCGTCATCCTCGATAATAAAAGTGGCAGTCTGAGATGAAGTGGAACCCCCTTGGCCGAATCCCTTCTGGAAAGGCCCGCTGTCTAGTGCCCAGAGACCAGGTCCATGAATTCTCAGAGATGTCAGAGGGACACGCACCAGCCTCACCTGAGCGAACAGCTGATGGACACTCTGCACCGAGGGCACGAACAGAACAAGAGCTTCCGCTCCACCAAAATACGTCATCACTTATCACCCCCAGGTGATTTTCCATGCGCTCGCACACGCTCGTGCGACAACTCACACGCACACACGGTTCATAGACGCACAGACCGCCAACCCGCCCTGCGGGGCAGGGGAGACAGCCCTGGAAGTCTCAGATCAACAAGTGGATTCTTTGGCCGTTTCAGCTCATACTGAAACACAGGTTCTCCACACAGGTTCCCAGTTAGGATTTCCACCTGGGGTGGGGGGTGGAGAAACGTCCACAATTCAAGGGAAGATAATGGCAACAATAGGAAGGGAGTCCTGAGGGCTTCTGCCAGGTCAGACAGCTTCCTGCAGGCAGCTCTGGCTCCTCCAGGCGAAGGAGAGCAGACACTAAGGTACTGGTGAGGGAAGGCAACCAACAAGCCAAAAGGAGCCCGGCAAAGCTTTCTTTCAACAAAATGGCATCTATAGCTCTGCCTTCTCATTTCGTGTGAGTTAAAACGAGCATTTTCTATCACCTCCCTATCCACGGAGGGGAGCCCGCAGCGAAGACAATATTGAGACTCTGAACTTCAAGGACCTACAGTCCCCTCATTGCCCTCTCTCTGGTGGGGTCTGGCCTATCACCAGCTGTGAAAGAATCAAAGGGCAAGAATCTCTGTGGCTGAAAAAACTTTTGCTTCCAGATGACTGACTTCTCTCACAGGGGAAGTATAAGCCCTGTTAGAAAGGTCAAGCAGTTGTGGGACGGTGAATTGGTAAAATGACTTGAATCAAAATAAGAACACAGTGTGGTAATTTAATTGATTCTGACCACTGAAAATTTAGAATGACTTCTGTGCGTGTATTTCAGGGTCATGCCCTGCCCGCTGTGCTCTGGCCCTGCAGATCCCATGCACTTTGCTGGGCTCCATGGGAGGAGCTGCTTACGTCCACTTTCCTCCCAGCAGGACAATTTATCAAGGTCCTCAGGGGCAGGCCTGGCTTCTCAGTTCCATTCCATGTCCATGGCCCCCCAGGGCTCCTGCAGGCAGGACCGGTTAGGACATCACTGTCCACTGGAGATCCATACAGAACTTGGGCCCTTCTGCCCCTCGCTTGGCGCCCACAGGCGCTGCAGTGGGCCAGGGGTATGGCTTAATTTGCAAATGGGAAAACAGCCACGGAGAAATGAGGACTGAGATCCTGACTCTGGGAGTGGCCCTTGAGGGGCAAAGCTGACTTAATAGTCTTTTTGTTTTTTTAATAATTTTTTTTTCTCATAGAGTGAAAGGAAGGGGGGTAGAGAGAGAGAGAGAGAGAGAGACCATCGTGAGAGGGACACATCAACTATTTGCCTCCCGCATGACCTCGAGCAGGGCCGGGGACGAACTGCAACCAAGATACATGCCCTTGACTGGAATCGAACCTGCGACTCATCGGTCTGCAGATCAACGACGCTCTAACTGCTGAGCCAAACCAGCAGGGCTTTTTAAATAATTTCTTCAATATGCTTTTTAGAGAGAGAGAGGAAGGAAGAGAGAGAGGGAAACATCAACATGAGAGAGAAACATCGATCAGCTGCCTCCTGCAGCCCACACCCCGGGCATGTGCCTTGACTGGGAATCGAACCGGGACGATTCAATCCACTGAGCCACACCGGCTGGGCTGAAGAGTCATTTTACTCATTTTGAGAATAATGCTGAAAACAACTATTAATAGTTTTTCCCTCTGTTGTGTGGAGTCCTTAACATAGAATTCTGTGAGAATATGGTCTAAGGATAATGCCCCATTAGCTACCCTGACCTGCTTTTTCCCCTTGTTTTGGGGACTTTCAGACAAACCTGTACTTTTAAATCCCACATATGCTTTTTCAAGTAATTTGGCATCTGCTGAAAAAGTCATGGTCATTCCAGATAACTGCTCTTCTCTCTATAAAAGCAAAATTGAAAGGAAGACAACTCTCTGCCCCAAACCAAGTCCTTGCAAAGGAGAAGAGTGATTCACCTCACATACCAGCGTGTCCTACTGCGGCCACAGCCCCGCAACCAGTAATCAACACGTTAGATTTCAGCAATGCAAGTCCCCTCGAGAAGTTACCTTGGAGTCCAGCTGCTGCATGTATGACCAGAGGTACTCTATGTTGGCTCCGAAAGGGTGGACATGAAGAAACGTTGATATGATGCCTGGATTAAAAAGACAAACACTGGACGTTACTGAGAGGCAAAGAAGGGTCTCCTCGGGCAAAGGCATCTCATCATGTCGCCTAAGTCCAGGGATACTTTTGTCAGGCTAAGGCGCACACGGTCGTGCCGTTTCTAGCAGGACCCAACAAGCACTCAGTGACAGCCCATTCCGAGGACATAACAGAAACATGACAGACAGAACTCGAGGTCACAGAACGGTGGCAGTTAGAAAAGCTAGCGTCTGAGATAATATATAGGCAAATAAAGGTTGCTAAACAAAGGCTCCTGGAAGCATTTCAACTGCCAACTTTATGCTTGATTTACCAATATAAAATTATAGCTATTGGAAGGATAAAATTATCTCCGGTCTTTCTCTCAGTGGACTTTGCCACGTGGAAATGGCTCACGTAGCTGTGTCAGAAACCACACGGCCTCAAAGTTCCCCGATAAGTAGAGCTGCTAGTTACAAAAAGTATTTAATCCATGTTTCCCCTAAGTGCCACTGAAGGAAGCATAAATCCTTTCGGAAACCCTTGCTGTTCCCCCCGGCTGCTGCTGCTGTTTGAAGGGAGCCAGTGTGCTTTCTCCTCTCAGCTGTAATTTGCAAGATCATTTACAAGATTCAGGAATAGATGGTTTGGCTGGAGTGTGATTATAAATCAGAAGCTTTACAAAAAAATAACTACACACATGCATACATGCATGCATACATAGTCATGCTTTTCTGTCGTGAAAAGTCAGCTGTCAACACTGTACTGGCAGGTGAAACGCTTCATGTTGGCGTGAGGGCTGAAGTGAAAGTGTTACCTTTCCACCCTCCCTGCTTCTGTGTCCAGAATCAAAGGAGTGGCTATGATGATGCTGACTCACAGACTGCAGGCTTCTATTTTCTAGGGAACTCTGTTCAGACTGCCATTTGTTGGGTTCTCTGTTCATCAGGCTTTGAGATTACTTAAATCTGGGAATAAGCCCTCACACTGTTTAGGGCTCTGACGCTGGAAAGCCAAAGTGAAGGGGAGCCCCCCCTTGTCTGAAGTGCAGTCAGGGACAGCACTAGACAAAAGCTCCTTCTCCTATTAGGTCACCCCATGAATAGCAGGTGACCTTGGATTGATCTGGAACAGGCTCTCGAGGTCCCCTGATCTCCTGTGTGATGCTTGGGGTGCTCTGGGATGCCTGCCAGTTTTTAAAGAAGTTACCAGTTGATTCTTAGGCTGAGGCCGGGAACCAGAGTGTCTAGATAAGCACTCTCAAACTCCTGTCCTCAGAACACTCTCTTAGGTGCGTTTTATTGGTTTGCCAAGAAATGAAGAAGATAGAAATAATTCATTACATTTCTCCATAAAGCTCAAACCTCACTTTCAGAAATTGATCTGTTTTTCTTCAGATATAAAGCACTACCATTTTAGTCTGAGATTATGTTCGTCCTTTTTTGCTAAAATGTCTTTTTATTAAATAATGGTGATAAAAGGAACTAATGGTAATTTTAATATCTTTGTGTGACAAATAACCCTCTTTTTTTTTTTTTTTTAGAGAGAGAGTGGAAGGGAGAGAGGGGTATGGGGAGAGAGAGAAACATTATATGAGAGAGACACATCAATGGGTTGCCTTCCCCATGACCCTAACTGGGGCTGGGGATCAAACCTGCAACCCACGGTCATGCCCGTCACTGGGATCAAACCCGTGACCCTTCAGTTTGCAGGCCGACTCTCTAACCACTGAACCACATTGGCCAGGGTGCAAATAGCCATTTTTAATGTACTTAGGTGGTATTGTTTGGTTCCCCTCCTACCACTTTATTTATTAATTTATATTTTAATTTTCTAGACTTGGAAACTACTTCTCTGTGTCTGAAATTCTCACATCTTGTGAAGTGGCACTGTACATAATTCTGTTACTAGTAAGAATTATGGAAGCTCTTGAATGATTTACCAAAAGAAAAAATGGAACACAAGTATTTTTTAAAATAACACTTTTGTTTGCATTCTTAAGGAGGGGGGCAGAATTCTTCCGGACAGTGAATGGCGTTTTTCCTGCTGTCCCAGGCTGAGGACAAGCGGTACTATGTCCACCACTTTCTTTCTTCTTTTTTTTTTTATCCTCACCCGAGGACATTTTTCCATTTTTTATTCAGATAGAGCGGGAGGGAGAGAGAGGAAGAGAGAGAGAGAGAAACGTCGATGTGAAGGGACACATCGAGTGGCTGCCACCCACATGACCCAACCAGGGCCTGGGACAAACTGCAACCGAGGTGCCTGCCCTTAGCGGGAACCGAACCCGGGTCTCTCTGGACCGCAGGCTGATGCTCTAACTGCTGAGCCAAACCGGCCAGGGCCATGTCCACCACTATCCACTAAGAGTCTCCAACAAATGGTAGGCAGACCCCACTCCATAAGGAGGAGAACAGAGGTGGTCAACTCTGGCTTTGTGACTAAGCCAAGTGTTTCTAGTGAGCAGCTTTTTTCACACACTAGGAGGGAAGAGGGTGCTCCAGGAGAGTGGCTCATAGAGTCTGGAGGGGCGCTGGGGGAGGGCTGGGGTGAGGAGGGCGGGGGAGGGGGGAGGGCGCTGCGGGGGGGTGGGGGGAGGAAGGCACGGGGGTGGGGGAGCAGCATTCCTTTCCTAGGTTGGCCATCTGCTTAGGCAGCAGACTGACAGATCTGGCTTTGCACTGACTAAGCACAGGGGAGATGGTGGGGCTGAAATGGGGTACGATATGGCACTACAGCATTTGGGGTGAGAAGGATGTATGTTTCCCATGGGGCAAAAGGCATTTCAGAAGGTACAGGAGCTTGCTCAGTCTTATTAGTTAAGTATCCCAAGGACCCCAGCAAATAGAGAAAAACATTTTTCATATTAGTATCCCTACTGGACAGGGACTTGCCAACATCTCCCAGAGGACCCACAGTCTTCCCTATAAATGCCCAAAGGAGGGCGAGATGACCTTTAGTGTCTTTAGCAGAATGATCAGAATGAGTCAGGAGAGGATGGGCTGGGGGATACGGGAGAGGATGGGGTGGGGGATACCGGAGAGAGGGTGATAACACTTAGCCTAGCAGATTAAATGCTAAAAGAGGAAATTTCAGGGTACCGGAAATGGGAGGACTTGGAGAGGCTGCTTCTGCTGCCCCTGTGACGTCGGTGCCCCTCTGGGCACACGTACTATACTTGCTCCCTCACTGGTCACATCCTGAGCCCCAGTCTTGGCCTGTACCCCCAAGGAGCCCTGCCCTTAGTATCTGCATGCCCTGGTTCAGTATTGTGAATACAGTATCGGTATGCATTTACAATAAATGTATGTTAAATGAATTTATCCTCTAGCGCTAAGAATAGCCAGTATGCTCGTTTAAAATTTCTGCTGTTCTATTATTGATAAATTGGGATAAATAAGAACCTTAAAAATTGTCTAACAAATGATGTAATAACCTTTCAGAAATCAGGTAACTTGGAGGCACTGTCCACTCCTGATTCCTTTAACGCACCCTGTTATGGATTCAGAAAGACAGAAAATAACTTGGGTGTTTTGGGCATGGACACTTTTCTAAAATTTATTTTTTTAATTGAGGTAGCATTGGTTCATACTACTATATAAGTTTCAGGTGTACAACATTATCATTTGATATCTGAATACACTACAGTGTACTTACCACAAAAGTCTAGTTTCCATTTGCTACCATAGATTTGACCCCCTTTTCCCATTTTTCCCTGCTCCTACCCCCTTGCCTTCTGGTAACCACCAGTCTGTTTTCTGTATCCACGTGTTTGGTTTGGTTTTGTTTGTTCACTTCTTTCTTTTTGATTTATATTCCACATATGAGTGAAATCATAAGGTTTTTGTCTTTTTCCATCTGACACCCTCAAGCTCCATCCATGCTGCCACAAATGGCAGTATTTCATCTTTTTTATGGCTGAGCAGTAGTCTATTTTTTATATCTATCTGTCATCTACCTACCTAATACCTACCACATCTTTATCAATTCATCCATCAATGGACACATGGGTTATTTCCATATTTGGGCTATTGTAATAATGAACAAAGGGTGTGTATATCTTTTAGTTTAATGTTTTCACGTTTTTTGGCTGAATAACCAGAAGAGGAATTTCTGGGTCATATGGTAATTCTATTCTTCATTTTGGAGGCACCGCCATACTGTTTACCATGCGGCTGTGCTAATTCACAAGCCCAGCAACAGGGTACGAGGGTTCCCTTTTCTCCACGTATTCAGCACGTGTTATTTGTTTATTAATGAAAGTCATTCAAACAAGTGTGAGGTGATATCTCTTTGTAGTTTTGAACTGTATTTCCCTAATAATTAGTGGTAAAGAGCACATTTTCATGTGCCTGTTGGCCATCTCTCTGTCTTCCTCGGGAAAATATTTAGATCCTCTGGTCATTTTTAAGTCAAGTTGTTTGTTTTTTGTTGTTGAGTTGTATGAGTTCTTTACATATTTTGGATATTAACCCCTTATTAGAAATATCATTTGCAAATATCTGTTCTCATTTGATTGGTTGCAATTTTATTTGTTTGTTTCAATGGTTTGTTTCAATGGTTTGTTTCCTTTGTTGTGAAGAAGCTTTTTAGTTTGATATAATCTTACTTGTTTTATCTTTGACTTTGTTTCCCTGGGCATGGAAACTTTTTATTGAAACTATGTTGTTCATAAAACTAAGGGGAAAATGCTTATATAATTTCTATGGATCTTTCTAAAATCAGATTAGAAATCCTGATGCAGACATGAGTATTTTCCCTTAGGAGGGTATGCAGACCCACCTCAGTTGTAGCTGATATTACTAAGCCATTAGCCTTTTCTTTATTCAGGTTTAGCGACTTCCTCTACACACATGCGGAGCTGAGGTAGGCAGCTATCAAAAGGTTTCCCAAGCGGTTCCTCTGAATGGCAGCTAAGTGCTTCAGTATTGCTCGAGATAGCACAGAGTGGGAGGCATTGGTCATCATCCTCCCAGTACCGTGCCCTTCTTCCTCCCTAGCCTTCCCCTG